GACAGATTTTTCATTACCACAACAATTCAAGAGAATTTTTTATTATGTAATTTTTTCTGCTTCTCATTGAAACTACAACTCAGTGCTTGTCAGTCCATTCGGCATCAGAGATAACAGAATGATCGGACTTGAATGCTCCTTTCACAGGCTGGGATGTGTGGATTGGTGCTGTTTGTACTATAGTGCACAAGTGCCCCTCCTCATCCTTCATCCTGCTCAGAAAAGACAATTCTCAGCTTTCAGGAGAATAAAGGGAGCATTTGGTTCTTCTATAAGGCATAATTAAGGCTGACATCATAGCTCTGAAGCAAACATTTTGTCTTCTTTAAAAATAATTACACTCACTTGGGTATGATCTAACAATTTTTTATTATTGTAGAAACTCTTTCAGTTAATCTAGCAGCACACCAAATGCTGATACATTAATCCAAAACTTCTCAATGCTACACACCAGAAATCCTCGATCTACCCACCATCAAAAAAGATCTGTGAGGCTTTAGGCCAATAGTAAATAACTGTTAAAAAAAAGACTGTGCACCTTAGAAGTTTTGAAGACACGACTACCAATTTGTTTGACATTGAATCTCAAGAAACAAATTAAAGTGCAGGGTATATTGTGGGCGGCACAGAGGTCCTGTGGATAACATTACTGCCTTGCAGTGCTGGGCTCTGGGGTCAGTTCTGGATCTGGAGTTCTATCTGCATGAAGGCTGTTTGTTCTCCACATGTTTGCATGGCTTTCCTCCCACAGTCCAAAAATACACTGGTAGGTTAATCATCTTCAAGGAAAACAGGTTGTGTATCTGTGTGTTCCCTGCAATGGACTGGTGTCCCGTCCAGGGTGTACCCTGCCTTGAGCCTGTTGCTTGATGGGATAGGTTCTGGCTCCCCCACAACCCTGACTGAATGAAGTGCTGAGAACAGGGATTGATATTTGTATGACATTCTGTTATCACTTACAGAGATTACAAAATACATTTTTTTTAACCCCAGATTTTTGTTAGGCTTTTATACAACAGGATTCTCTGGAGCTGTCTGGGTAATGTACCTTGCTCAGGGGTGCAGCAGCAGCGTACAAGCCCAGCTTTGAACCCACAAGGCACCTGTCAGGAGTCCAGAGCCCAGATTACTACGCCACACTGTTGTTTCATTCTGAGATGCTCTAACTTTACTATAAAAAAGAAAAAAACCTTCCCTCCTATTTCACAAAACCTGTTCTAACAGAAAACTTACCTTATAGAAAACTAAAAAACATTTGCCTATTTCCAGAACTATGCAGAATTGTTCCTTTAAGCATGGCTACTTATTTCAAAACATGCAAAGCAATGAGACAGTTATCGCAATAAGAAGATCACCATGTCTCCTGCAAACTTCTGACCAAACAAAAAAAACAAAATATGAGCAATTCCTTCAGCTGTGCTTTTCTGAAAGATGTGTCATGTCTGACTGAAGGAGGGGAGTGGTTGATTGTCACGCAAAAGAGCAAGGCTAAGCAGTGTTCTGCAGATTTGTGACAGAATGAGCATTATATTAAAGCCTTTTGCTTCGAGGTAGAGTACAATGAATCCACTATTCTTCAATACATTTCAAGCATCGCAAATCCCCCATTAACATAATGTTTCAGTAAAAGGAAAGAAAACTAAAACAGATCTTAATAACTCTGTTGCCAAATACTGCACATAGAAAGAAAAGGATCATTTGTTTCAAAGTTTGTTACGGATGAGTCATTACAATCCATTAGAAATTACTCTGGATTTAATATGATTTGGCTCAGAAGAATTACCCAGCTCTACTGACTTGTTTTAACCTGCAATGAAAGCTCCTTCAGATGGGAAAGTTCTGTTTTCGGAAGGTGTGACACACAAAAAGTATTAACAACAACAAGGACACATGATCTGTGCAAGATAATGCAGAAAAAACACATTTTCTTTTTGAGTACTGTACTTTCAACATGAAAGAAACACCGTGAACAAGCTAAATTCTGTCTATACATTTTCTTCATGAAGTTTCTTCCATATCATGGTGTGTAGGGCCTTTCTGAAGTCCTGCAGATCAGTAAGCACATTACAGAAACCATATCTTATAGCAGATACAAACCCTGAGAGACTGCTCAAGTTCCCAGCAGTCGATAGTGTGCCATCACCTTCCTCCTTTCACAAAAACACAAGTCACTGGATCTTCCCCCTCATTAATCATTAACTCTGAGGAACAAAGGCACAGGGGAGATGCACAGAAACTCTCTTTCCAGCCAGAATTGAAATAAAGCTGAAACTGTAATCAAAGTAATTAAAGCACTTGTAATGTGTCTCTTGTTGTATGGGCACTTTATGGCTATACTTAGCTACTAAATGAGCTGAAATTGGAGAGCTCAGGCATTGTAATGTTCATTTAAAACCAGCCTAAAAGTTGAGTTTTTAGCCGGAGAATGAACTGAAAAGGTGCCTGTGCATTACTTCTTAAACATTTGGTCTTTCTTTTGAATGTCAAGATGTATCCATCCATTTTGTAACTGCTACACTAAATTCAGGGTCTGGAGGGAGTTGCATACTATTCTGGAAAGCAACAGGCGCAAGACAGTATACTGTACACTGTGGACATGAGACCAGTCAATCACAGGGCAGAGGCATGCACAAATACACTTACACTGGGGCCAATTCATCTACTACTATGTCTTTGGACTGTGGGATGAAACACACACAAATATGGGAAGAACATATAAACTCCACACAGACAGCACCCCAGGTCCAGAAGTGAACCCAGGCCTCCAGTGCTGTGAGGCAGCAGTACTAACCACTGCGCCACTGTGCAGCCTGAGAGATATTTATGTTGTACTCCAAGCAGACAAGAAATGTCTAAACTACCATGAATCTGATTTTAAGATCACACAGAAGAGTGTTGAAAGTAATATGGGCACTTGTCTGAAAGGCCAACCAGCAAACTGAACACCCAGAATTTTTACAAAGCACAAGAAGAGGACGACAGATGTCAGAGCATTGCAGGGCTAATCAAGCGAATGTCACTGAAATCACACAGAGTCCCAAAGTACTGAAATGAGTTTATCCGTGGCTGAGCGGTAAACAAGGGCATCAGAGAGGAAAGCCAAAGCAGAGTGCAGCCTTATCAGGAGCAGAGCAGGCTGCAATCACAGGGGCTTTTCAATGAAGGAAAGCTTCACTGTGGCACACACACTCCACTTCAATGTACCAGAATGAAACACACGCAGACAGGAAGCAAAGCTTCCAGCTAACAACTGAGTCATGCCAATAACTTCCAAAGACAACTAAGCATTGCGAGTTCACCTCTACAGCATTCAGGATGAGCTGAACACAAAGATCTTCCCATCGTTCTCCTGAAATCTAAATTGTAGAACACCATCCCTTTGTATTAAATATTCAGGTCTTTTTTACATTATACAATACATCAAACTTCCCAGTGATACAGAACTAGAGACACATCAAGGCTATAACTCCATCCTGTTCAAGAGCATTTTTAAATGTCCTATATAACCCATGTCCTTTTCCGGGTACACTCGCGTAAACTAGGAGGGTCGAAATGCTGTACATTGTATCAAGAGGAGAGCTTCGGCAAGCCTTTCACTTAAAAGGTTTTAACAAACGGCACGATAGCTCTGTCTCGTGTTTTACTGTAACCTGCTTGTGGAGGGCTGGGTATCATATTTTTAAGAGTGTGTTTTTCCTTCGTGGGTGATGGCATCACGAAACAGCTTAAGACAGCCCATTTACGAGACTGTCCAAGAGCTGGAATTAAACATCCATTTCGGTGTGGCTCACTGACGCAGTTGTGTTTGTATCCATCCTAGAGAAGCAGGAAAAAACATATAAGGCAAACGAGCAGCGTCAGGCCTCAGAGATTAACACCAAAATCCGCAACAGGGTGAAACAGTGCCACACGAGATCCGGGAAAAGGAGAAGCGAGTAAGAAAATGAGAAAATATCCGACCGCTGGGTGCAAGGTGGATTAAAAAACATAAAATATGCGGGGGGAAAGCGGATTCCCACTGCGTAACGCTCTCTCCCGGAAGATGCTCCAGTATAGCGCATATACAGTATACGAATCAGTAGGGTAAGGTACTGTAGGTTTGACCAGGGTCACGACAGCTATCCTCGGCACGGACCCGAGATCAGCCATTGCCACCGCACAACAGGTGATCAATCACGACCCCGACAGGAAACACACATCAGCTGGTGCTTCTGCCTGGTGTCTGGACCACTCGCTGATGACACGGCTCACACTCACCCCTTAACTGCAAATACTTAAAAGGAGGAGATGTAGATCACACAGGGAATGGAAAGCACGCAAATCCATTCAGATTAAGAGATGTAGACAGTCGTGCAGATACATACCTACTGTAGCATGCAGTGTTTACAGACAGTATGTGCGTGATAGGGAATTCCTTCAGCTGCGCGTATTCAAAAGTGTGCGACATAGGATTTCACGCTTGAACTATAACTTACTATAACTTACATCTGAAAATGTATTCATCAAAGCCCAGCACAGTGATTAGAACAGCCTGAAAAGCGATTATACGGTTGATTGCACGAACTCTGAAGTGAGATGACCAGTTTTAATATCCCTGTTTTAAGGCCTTCAAATATTTACTTTGTACAGCATCTTAAAACGTAACTTTATGATTCCGGTACCGTAATACGAGCGCCTGTTTTGCCGTTGTGTAGTCAGAAAATACAATCGTTTACTTAACCACTTCCTCAAAACAAACGCTTGCAAGTAAGAAAGCAACTAAGACGCAGCCTTTTGATCTAACGTGTACCGTTACACAATCAAACTTCAAATCTGAAGACGCAGGGTGGCCTCCGCTTCGTGCGGTTTTAAATTGGAGCACCACGCTGCATTCCTCCGGCCAACTGTGCTTTTTGTTACCCAGCGCCCAATATCTTGTTTTCTCCACTCCATAACAACACAAAACGAAACAACACGCTGAAATTGACACAACTGTTTCTGACACAGGGGTGTCTCCTTACCTGACTTGCTTTGTGGAATTGCTTCTTCAGCCCGGCCACCGACATCCTTTTGATTTGTAAAAAAAAAAATAGATTAGATAAAGAGGAAAAACCCTCCTCTCACTCAGTTCCTTGTCACAGTGGAGTGGAGTGCGATGCACTTGCAAGGGAGAAGGGGGGGGGGGTACAGAGGGAAATCAGAAGGAAAGGAGGGCAGCTGCTCTCGGAGCCGCACTCTCGCAGGCTGGCTGTCTCCTAGCAGCCACTGGCTACAGCTGCTGTCACTGTCCGCGCGGGCGCGAGCAGGCAGGGAGGGAGGGGAGACCTCCCCAGGTCTCTGCGGTGATTGGCGGAGGCGTCCTCTATATGCAAATGAAGGCCCGCGAGGGCTTCAGCAGTCAAGACGCCCACCAGTGAAGGAGTCCGGCAGCACCGACAGACCCGAGAAGGCAGGGGAGAGACCCGGGATGGAGTTGTTTCACCACAGCGAGGCACATTCCTCTGTCTGACCGTTACCACCGAAAAGGGGGGGGAACACTCAAATGGTATGCGCTGCAGGAGGCTCTTTCAATTCTACTCGTGAATTCGTGAAAGAGAGAGTGCGCCTTTAACTGTGGATCTGCCAAATCGCCTCCCAGATTATAATTCTACACTTCGGGGTTATTATTTTTATACTGGGTGTGTTCAAGAGATGTGTGAACGTGCGCTGCTGTTTGCACGTAGCGGTGCAATTTCTAAACAAAAATAAAGATTTCTCTCTGCACAAAGATGATGCGAACTGTCCGCAGTTCAACATACCTGTACTCCAAAGGAGTCATGTAACTGAACAGCGTAGCCAATTGGCACCGGGTTTTATCCTTTGCATTATAAAAACTAAAGTTTGAACATATTTTAAAGTTTAACACAACCTTGGGTTTGTAGGAATGTACTGCGACTGTATTGTCTAAATAAAATATTTCCGGTAAATCTGACCAAGACAAATGCTGTTAACCCCTCTTTCAGCGCGCTGATGACGCAATTACCACCTGCAACGACTGAAAGCGTGGACAGATTTTATCCTACAAACAAATCTTTCATTATGGTACTGTTACTGTTTAAGAACAGGGTTTTGATGTTTGTAATTTAGTTAAGGTCAACAAACTTAGAAATGACTTTGCTACATGTCTACGATGCAGCTAAAATCGTTATCAAGCTTACCGTGAAGTTTATATTAAGATTTTTAGTGCGAGATCGTCACACACAAAAGGCCTGAAATTCGATTCTGAAATTCTGGATACTGGATAGATACAGGTGGTATGCTATTCTTAGCCCGTTTGTGCCCCCTGGCGGTCAAAAGAGCGAAGTATTTTGTGGCCTACTTTTCAAACCCGTGACCCAGTTCAGATCGCCATTTCCGACGCTACAGAACGAGTATTTAAATCATTTCCGTGGAGGACAATTCAGAAAACACAGACCTGATTGAAGTGCTCTCAAACTTCAGTGTGCAGAGAGGAAAATAGCATTGTCTGCAATACGAATTGAATCTACACCCAGACACAAACTCCTGAAACTTCGGGAGAGCTTTGCTTTAACTTGGTAACAGACTTTTAAAACTTCGCTACGGGGCGATCACCTCATACAACGAGAAAGGCTCAGGAATTCAGTTCTCCCATTACCCCACCCATCCTCTCATCTTCACCCCAAGGCCACTAGATAACAACACACCAGTTGCTGACAGTTGCTGACAGCAGTGAGCTAATTAAATCCCCAATCCACTTGTTTTTCAAGAAAGGCTTTGACGCTGATGTGCCTGATAAACTGAACGCTCCATGGTGCTTTCTGCAATTGCTGGCTAATAAGAGCAACAGGACTATCTGAAACACTTCTGAACAACACCTCTCTGGGCTCTCTGATTGACAGGGAAACCCATGTTATTACGTTTATAAAAGATTCACTGGCACGTCAGCCCCCTGCCGCCAGAAGCATCTCTTTAAAGTGCTGGCGTGCTGGCCCCGGTCTCCCAGCATGCCGAGCAGGTCTGCATGTTACCGTCGGAACGTCCTGCTGAGGAGATGGATTGGCTCGTCTCTTGCCTGCGCCCTGGTTTTCCGCTGACAAGCTGACTTGAAATGGAGCTCCTGTGCCCTGGCGGCTGAGCTGATGAACAGAGCAACCCTGACTCCTTTTTAAAGTTTGAAGAGCGCCAGGATCCTGCTATATTGAAAGCCGTTTGAAATTAAGCGAAAACAACAGCTTTCGTTCTGGAAGGTAAGGTTTTAGAAAACAATTAGATGGCGAGATGATCGCTGCTGCACACTCCCAGACATCTTCTTCATACATGGTTTGTGGGGCAGCTTCAGTGTCCTGGCTTTGCTGAGGACACACCTTCATCTGGAAGACGTGGGGAAGAATGATGCACTGTGGTATTATTGCACTGTGTGTGTGTGCCTCCTTTATTCTCTGCAGCTGTTTAATCAGACAGCTGACAATGCTGCACTTTTGCTGACTAGTAGGAGTGTAAGTGCCCTTGAAATGTGTGATAAATTCGCTGCTCGTTAGCACACTTCAGACATTTCATTCATCCGCTGTTATCGGAAATTCGTGTCGTTATTCCTGTTGCGAGTCACGGCAACCTCAAGCCAGTCCCGGAAATATGATGCACAAGGACTAAGGCCTGGAGGAGTCCCAGGTCATTGCGGGGCAAATATGTACATACAAAAATCAACGATTTTTTTACTCCAGCAATGGGACATACTTTAGCTGTTCAGAGGACAGCAGCCATGGCCGTGTATAGCAGAGGCCAATGAAACTTTCAGAATACATATAAAATACATCATACATTTGCATTTAGTTTCATGAAAATCAAGTTACTGTTTTCTTTAAGGTACAATTAGAAGCAGGTATCAAAATCCAAAATATTAGCCTGTATGTTGCCCTAGTGCCCGTAGAATCCTGTGGTATTAAATATTGATCCAGTAATTCCTGCTGAGTGTTACTCAAAAAAAAATGTAGCAGCTCTAAGTCAACAGCTGTTGGATGTTTCTGATTTTCATTTCCAGGCATTCCTGGTTTTGCGTAATATCTTCAACAGGCTTAATAAACAACAGAATGGCTCAGGAACATAAGAGCAGTTAAAGGAGGCCCATCTAACTCATTTGGTCTAGAAGTAACTAATGGATCTGAGGAACTAATCCAGTCTTTTCTTGAAAGAAGCCTGGGTATCAGTTTATACAGTGTGTCTGGGCAGCTGATTCCACCCTCCCACATCCTCCATGTTTTCACTTTTAAATGCACTTCCCCATAGTTTCTTCTAGTGTCCGGCAGATCGTGTTTCACTGTTGTGAAGAATGTCTTAGGGCTGATTTTATAAAAGTTTTTCTGGAATTTGAATCGGGTCAATTTCCTTTAGTCTGTCCATGTAGGCCATTCCCTTATAGCCTGCAATGTATCTGCTTATGCACTGATTCCAGACAAGCGATATTTGTTTTGCCTGTTGTGCTAAAGGTATACACAATATTCTAAATATGTCCTTAGTCCACTGTACAATTTTAATCCCTTTAATTACAATTCTATCCTTCAAATTAAATATCCTAACATTAGAGCTTCTCCACAGTATCTAGGAGGTGAACATGAGGTTTTGACATAAATATCTTTCTCAGTACCTTTGTTTTTTTCCTTCTTATATGTGTATTTCTGTTTTCGCTACCTGCATGTAAGTCTGTACTTGTCTACATTAAACGTTATCTGCCAACAGGTTTCTCATTTAATTTATTTTGAATCATCTATTGTGTTTGCTAATCTTCCTGCTTTAGCATGGTTTTGCAAATATGACTGGTTTGTGAACAAAAGCAGATTCTAAATCATTAAAATAAATGAGAAGGAGCAGTGATCCTCATACAGATTGCTGAGCTACTCCAGAACATACATCACCTCAGTTTGAACATTTTCTCATCAACTGAGTCCTTCTGTTTCCTGCCCATTTACCAATTTTTTATCAAGTAAAATGCATGACATTGAATGCCTACTGCCTAAAATTATATATAAATTATATTATATCACATACTCTCTGCCCAATACTGCTGTTGCTTGTTCAAAAAATCCTAACAAATGAGTTAAGCAAGATCGTCCATTTCTAACTCCATTGGTATTCTGTTTGGTGTAGTCTTGTCACCATTATTATATATTGATCATTCCATTAGTAATTCTCTAATCAGGTCAGGTCTGCTGAAGCTATCTCAGCAGTGTATGATCATGTGTGATTATACTGCAGGTTTCTGAAAAGTTGCAGTTCCAGAGTATGAGTATTGTAAATATTCAGGTGGTGTACAGAATGTCACACTTGGGCTGCAGCATTTACATACAGTACTGTCACATACAAAGAGTTCTCTGCAGCTGCAGTCGGAAAAGGTCCAGTAAGTCAGTTTTTTGTAGGTTAGTATTTGTTTTTTAATTATTTTAACACATAAATAATCATTTATTGAAGAACAGGTTTTCAAAAATTGGCATTGATGGGCGCATTCAGGGATTTTCCAGGGGATCCCTAGAAGCAAAAACCTTTTGCCCCAAATCCTAGGCAACAATTTTAGTGAGGTTGCTCTGACAATGTTTGTGCTGCTTCTGTCTTTTAATGTAGACTTTGATGGTAGCTTTGTTTTTAATTACAGATTTCATATTAATTTATAGCCGTTATAGGGATACCTTGATAAAAGGGATCCGACTGGTGTGAAAGTTGGAAGTTGTCTGTATTAGGGAATATACGCTACAACGTGCTGTTCGCGATGTGTCCTGAAGATGGCAGCACAATTACGTATTGATATCAGGAATCTAGAACGAGTCAGACTAATGACATTGAAGTCGTATTTTTAAACAAGTTACTGTAAAGACAGAAGTACCAAAAGTGACATGAAGAGTTATGTTGTAGGAAGCTGGTGATTGAAGGAAAGTTATTGCCAGACTGATTGATAGTCAAGTACTACTGACATAAATACTGTATTTTCAAGCGCAGCTGAAATGAGTCCGCATAATTCCTAATGAAGCTGGTTTTTAACTTGCCAAGTAGTGCTTTAATGAAAGCTGTTAAAAGACGTTTGTTATGATTCAGTATATCGCTTAACCGTTTAATATTATTTTGTTTCGTAGTAATGTTGCAAATAAATGCAACCTTTTACGGGAGTTTTTTTTTAAAATCTTTTTAAGTTTTGAATCGTTTTGGGTAGAACTTGGAAGGGTTTTACATTAATCGCTGAAAGTATAATCAAATATTACAAACACATCGTATACTGGTGTATGGATAAACATTTTGGTTGATTTGTATCCCTTGCCCAAACTGCTGAAAGGTGCAGTTTCCAGATTTTCTCAACAGTATGAATTGTTTCGTGATGCATAAATATATCTCTCGCATAAAAAGGCGTTTCGACACTATTTGTGAAACTGCTAGGCATTCACATTCTATGAATATCAACACAAAATGTAATCAGGAATTGGGAGATGAGCAGAGAATGACCAAGAGCCATAAACCCTCAAGTCTGGTCCATTTAGAGTGAGTTCTCAGCTTTCCATGTGGGCCTGCACCTTCACCAGACATTAGCGTAAAACAAGGCAAAAGCTCTCTGGCATCTATGCTACTGTACCTTCAATGGGCAATGTCCTCGACCAACCAAAAGGAATATGCAAGCAGA